GTCCCAGCTCCTGCTATTACAAAAAAAGGCAGGGGGAGATGTGGAGAACTAGACATAAAGATTGCGGCCCAGTTGACCTTCCCTGTGGACATGAAGGAGGGAACAGCTAGCTGGTCCTCCTTTGGAAATGTGCCGGCGTGCTAGCACATAGCAAGTTCCAGAGAAGAAGTCAGCAACAGCTGAGGTCTAGTTTAGAGAAATACTTACCTGGGTACACTTTCCAAATAATGAGAAACAGATGAATTTTCCATTAACCTAACTGCTTGCTCCTTTGCCTAAGTTGAATAAAAGTGAAGTGAGCCAGACGCTCAAGGCTCTTTGTCCACTAGAGGCAAAAGCCCCTGGCCCTCAAAATTATCTCTGTCTTGTCTTTAATCTCATTTTGCCCCCTCTGGGTAGGCATTCCTAGCAAGCTGGTTTTCTGTACTGTAGTTAATTCCTAAGTGTTTCATTTTTCTTGATACAGGGCCAGGGATTTAGCTCAGTGGTTTGGCTGCCTGCCTCATTTTTCTTGATGCTATCATGAAAGGTATTGTTTCCCTAATTTCTGTCTTGGTGAGATTATTATTGGTGTACCTGAATACTATTGATTTTTGAGTGTTGATGTTATGTCTTGCTACACTGCTGAATTTGGTTATTAATCTAGAAATCTTTTGGTGGAGTTTTTGGGACCTTCTATGTAGAGGATCATGTCATCTGTCAATAATGATAATTTGGGCCAGGAATTTAGCTCAGTGGTTCCGGTGCCTGCCTGGCAAGCGCAAGGTCCTGAGTTCGATCCCTGGTACCAAAAAAAAAAAAAAAAAAAAGATAATTTCTCTTTTATCTTTTTCCTTTTCTATATATATATATATCCCTTTTATTTCTTTATCTGGCCTGATTACTCTGGCTAATAGTTTGAAAATGATATTAAACAGGAGAGGTGATAATGGACATCTTTGTCTTGTTCCTGATTTTAGAGAGAAAGGTTTTAGCTTCTCCCCATTTGTTATGTTTTTGGTGGTAGACTTGTCATATATGGCTTTTATCCAACTGCGATGAAGTCCTTCTATACTGTTTTTCTGATGTGGGCATTCACGGCTATGAACTTCCCTCTTAGGACTGATTTCATTGTGTCCCATAGGTTCTGGTGGGTCCTGCTGGCATTACTGTTTCATTGCATTAACTGTCTAATTTCTTCCTTAATTTCATCTGTGACCTCTTGATTATTCAAATATTACCAAATTTCCAAGTGTCTGCATAATTTCTGTGGGGGGGTTTTGCCATTGATTTCTAGTTTCATTGCACTATGATATTGATAATACGCATTGAATAATTTCAATTCTTTTGCCTTTACTTGAGCATGCTTTATGGGCTAGTATGTGGTCTATTTTGGACAAAGAGCCATGGTCTGCTGCAAAGAATGTATATGTATTCTTTTGTGTGTGGAATACTGTTGGTATCTCTTAAGTCCATCTGTTTAAAGGTTTGGTTCAACTCCGATATTTCTTTATCAATTTTTGTCTAGTTGATCTGCCCATTTGTGACAGTAGGTGTTGAAGTCCCCCATATTGGTCTTTATCTCATTTTTTATGTTCACTATTGTTTGTTTTATGAAATTGAGTATGCCAGTATTTGGTGAGTGTATGTTTGTAATTACAATATCTTGCCATTGAATTGTTCTCTTAACCAATATGCAGTGACCTTCTTTGTCTATTCTGATCAGTTTTGGCTTGAAATTCACTTTGTCTGAAATTAGGAGAGCCACTTCTGCTTTTTTCTGGGTCCTCTTTGCATGGAATAATGTTTACCATCCTTTTATTTTTAATGTATGAATTTCTTTTTGAATTAAATTTGTTTCTTTTATACTGCATATCATTAGGTTTTGTTTCCTGATCCATTCTGCCAGTTTGTGTCTTTTGATCAGGGAATTGAGACCATTCACACTGAGAGTTATTACTGACAGGTATTGGCTTATTCTGTCATTACATTATTTTCCTGTTGCTAATTTTTCTTTTTGCTTTTGCTCAGCTGCTCAGTCTGTTTGATGTATTTATTCTTTTTTCTTTCTTTCTTTTTTGCGGTACCTGGGATTGAACTCAGGACCTTGCACTTGCGAGACAGGCATGCTGCCACTAAGCTAAATCCCCAACCCCAATCGTTTTTTTTTTGGTACCAGGGATTGAACTTGGGACCTTGTGCTTGCAAGGCAGGTGGCAGAACCACTGAGCTAAATCCCCAGCCCTCCAACCCAATCCTTTTTGACTTATTGGTATTGTTAGCTTCAAAGTCCCCCCCCCCTTTGGTACCGGAGATCCAACTCAGGATCTTGTACTTGCGAGGCAGGAAGTGGAACCACTGAGCTAAATACTGGGCCCCTCAAGGTTCTCTTTTAAAATATTCTTGAAAATTTTTTGTAATAGTAGTTTGGTAGTCATGAATTTCTTGAGATGCTTCTTGTCATGGAAATACCATATTTCTCCATCAGTTTTGAAGGAAAGTTTTGCAGGATACGTAAGTCAGAGCTGGAAGTTGTTATCTTTTAGGGCTTGAAACACTTGGCTCCAAGCCCTCCTGACCTTTAAAGTTTGTGTTGAAAAGTCTATTGTAATTCTAATATGCTTACCTTTCTATGATTCTTTGCCTTTCTCTAACAGCTTTTAAGAGTTTTGTCCCTGTGATGGACTTTTGGTACTTTTGAGTACAGTGTGACCCAAAGGTTCTCTTTTGGTCATGGCTATTTAGAGTTCTATATGCCTCACTTATCTGTATATTTTTTCCCTATATTTGGGGAGTCTTCTGCCATTGTTTCTGTGAACTGGTTTTTTTAAGTCATCTGTGTTGTCTTCTGATTTTTCATTTATTCCAATCATTCTTAGATTTCTCATCTTTGCATCATCTAGGGGCTGTTGGATCCATTTTTCATGCTCCCTTGTTGCTTTTAAGATGTCTTTGTGTAGTTGTTCTTTGAAGGTGTCATTGTTTTCTAGTTCTGAAATTCTGAACACTGGTCATTTCTACTACCCATATTTTCTTTTTTTCCAGTATCGGGGATTGAACTCAGGACCTTGCACTTGCCAGACAGGCACAACACCGTTGAGTTACATCCCCAGCCCTCTCCATACTTTCAATATAATTTTTTTTTTTTGGTGCTGGAGATCAAACTCGGGTGCTTGTGCTTGCGAGGCAGGCAGCAGAACCACTGAGCTAAATCCCCAGCCTCCAGTATAATTTTTAATCTCTTGAATTTCTGACTGAAACATTTTCATGGACTTTTTTTTTTTTTGCTAAATTGGTCATTCTTGTTTTGTATCATTTTGTTTAGTTCATCTAGCCTTTAATTAGAGTCTTCTAAAAGTTCCTGGATCATTTTGGTCATTACTTCCATTATCTGTTTAGCTATGTCTTCTGTGATCCTCCTGAGTAACTTTTTGGTATATTTTCCATCCTCCTGCTATCCTTTCAAGTAATTTGGTTGTGTGGCTTATGCTACTCAGCCCTGCAGTGCCCTCTGGATTGGCTTCTAAGGAGTTGGGAGTTTTGGGAGGCACTTTGGTGCCTTATCTTCTCAAAAATCTATTGTTTATTTGTTTTATTTTGCCCTGTGGTTTGTGGATGCTTATAGTATAAAGACTTTTTTGCTAGTACAGAGATGTCTTTAGTTAGTCACTTTGCAGTAGGATACTTAGGACATTGTTCGCTATAGTCCTTAGCCTTAGCTCCAAAATCTGACCCCCTTGGTTAATTTAAGACAGAAAATGCAGTGTAATTAACTCAACACCAAGTTCTCAGGGAATGTCCTGTAGTATTGTTTATGTCACAAAGACAGTGTGAGTGTTGGCTTACAGAGAAACAGCAGCAATTATGTCATCTAATAATATCAAGCAAATCAGCTCGAGTAGTATTGTACAAGACAGCTTGGATGTTAGCATACTATAAGAACCAATTACCGTAATACCTCAATTCACAAACGCTTCTGTTCACAAATAATTCAATTCTCAAAAAAAAGGATTCAACAAAATTTTGCTTCCATTCACAAACTCCACATCATGTGACAAATACAGCCACACCCGTCTTCCCCACACAAACACAAATCCAGCCATCTTCCTCAAATTCATAAAACAAATTTAAGTTCATGGACCAAGATACCACACTGTATGTACCATTCTTAATTGCACTTGATCTTAGCCAAAAGGCTGAGAAACGATGTACCAATCTTAATTGTAGAAAAGAAATTTACAATTATAGTGTAAACATGAAGACAACCCAGGTATTGACATAGCTAATATGTACTGAATAAACAGCTGTAGCTCTGCTAATGATGGAAAAGAACTCAACAGTGACTTTCTTTTTTCAACAGTGATTTCACAGAGTTAACTATCTAAAGATTAAAGCTTCTTGTGGTCCTTATCTGCCTTCAACTTGTGGGTGTCTTCATAAGAATCCACTTGTTTTTTAACATATTCCCCTTCACCTTCAGGTATAGGGTATAATACATGTGGTAGTCAGTCTTCTTAGATTCATGGTATCTCTGGAGCAAACTATGCAGACCCCATAACCTCTTTATCCAAGTGGCCTTCTCTGGCATCCAAGCAGTGAACATATGTTCTCAGTTACCTATGCCCATATGCCTGCCTGTCATAGTGTGTGACCGTGGCAGTGCAGAGGATGAAAAGATTACTCAGAGATGAGACTTGGTCTGAACACCAAGAGGCCCAGAGGGGCTATCTCAGCCAAGAGTGCTCAGCATTAGAGAGACTCCCAAGAGTAGCACCAAAGCCAAGAACTCCCTGGCTTTTATTTAGAATATCAGTGTAGGAGAAAAAAACTGAAGAAAAACAGTTTGGCCAAGGAGCTGTCTGAAGGGTAGGCAGTTTGTTGGGGAAAGCTGAAGGACAACAGCCAGATGCAACATGCCTCACTAATCTAAACTTGTTGTTTTCCCATGTGCTTTTGCCCCACACATTCCTTCACAGTTTACCCATTCACTCCTCAAGAGCCTGTGTGTTTTTTCCCTTCAGTTTAATCATCCACTCTTCTGCCAAGTCCCCCACACCTGCCTTTCCAGCCATCACGTGTTTTTCTGGCATCACATCTGGGAATGGACAGTCACAGCCTTGCAGATGATCAGCTCACCTGACAAGAACTGGTACTGCAGTCGCACTGGGACCCAACCGGACCTTTTTGCTGCAGCAGAGGACACTGGAGGCAGGCCTCTTCTGAAGCCTGAGCATGCTCGTGGCTGTGGCCACTGCAGCGAAAGGCAGTATGTACGATATGTTTAAAGAGCAAAAACAGGGTGACCAAAATGAGACCGAGGATCAACAGATGTGAGTAAAACTTAAAGTGATACTAATTCAGCAAATCTACAGCTTTCGTGTTTAATGCTTCTGGCCTTTTTCTGGAGCTTTCCTCCTTTGCCTTCCTACTGTCTTAGTGCTTGTTTTACTCCTTTGACTCCTCACCACTTTCCATCACACACGTACACACACACACACGCACACATAGGTATGCGTGCGCACACATGTGCACACACATGTGCACATTGGCCTTATTGATATCACTGTTGGCCCTGGTTTTCTCTTGTTCTCCCAACATTCAGTTTTTTTCTCTAACTTCCTGTCTCCTCTATACTCACAGCATTTCTTCTGCATCCTTATTTTTTAAATTCTTGCTGTGATTTCTTTTCCCTCTCAACCTGGCAGTCAAAATTCAGGCTGGAAAACTGGATTATCTTTGTTAGTTATAACAGCTGCAGAACCCCAGTTCTCCTTGTCTGATCCCTACACCAAGATAGTGAGTTTTGATGATTTATGAAATTTTACTTTGACTAGAAGAGCTATTTTCATGAATTATCTTCATGGGATTAACATTTGCTAGATAATCTCAGATGATTTGAAAGCAGTGTGGTCAGAAAATTTCTGCCAACCCTTTATTTTGAATATTCCATCTAGTGTTCATCTGTGCTTTGTAATTCAAACACTGAGTGCCCAGTGTGTAAATACCACCAAACTCTAGGAGCTTTATAGCTAAAACTTGTCCTGAAAACAGTATAAAAGAATACAGAAAGCAGACAAAAGTAACTTGCTTTATTGTACAATTATTAGGTGCCACAGGAGTGAAGTGATAAGGGCTCCTTGAGCTCAGAAAAGAAAAATTTGAAAATTCTATTCTCAGTATTTGTCAAGAGCATGAATCACCTCTCTTAGGGTCACCCTAGCTTGGTTCTCTATGATGCTAGCTGTTTCAGCCAGATATTTCAAAAACACCCAGTTTCCTACAATAAAGCTCTTGGGATACACACATAAGAGACTCATTTGCCTCAAGATACGAATGAATTGCAGCCAAATACCTAAAACAGTTTTTCACAGCTTTTATTCATACAAATCATACAGAGATCAAACACCAGGCTGAGAAGTCAAGCCCCTATTCAGAAAATACTCTCCTAGGTGTGTCTGTTGGAGTTAGTCTGATTAATTTCAGGGCCATATCTCATTACTTTTGTGTCTTAATTTTGTATTGTGGCCTAAGTTGAGTTCTCTACAAAGTCACGACAGTGTAACCTGTTTCATGAACTCAGGGCGAGCCCTTCCGGACAGGAAGGATCACCCCTGGGATACCACGACAGCTTTGTTTTCTGAAAAACTTAGGTTCAGATTCTGGCTCTGTTACTTTATTATGTGACCTCAAGCAAGTGTGTCCTTTCTTTTTACTTTTTTATTACAGAGAATTTCAAATGTATACAAAATCTAAATACAATAGAAGCAGTGGTTTCCAGGAGCTGGGAAAAGGGGAATGAGGAGTGGGGGATGGGGTTTCCCTTTGGTGTGACAAAAATGTCCTGCAATTAGATAGGATGATGGCTCCATTACTCTGAATATACAAAAAACCTCTGAATTGTATGCTTTAAAGAAGTAAATTTTATACTTGGATTATCTCTTAATAAAGCTTTTTTCATTCTTAAAAAATGTCTACAGCACAATGAATCCTAACACATCCACCACAGACTCCCAAAACTTCACCATGAATAATTTTGATTTATCTGACTCTCCTCTCCCTTGATTGTTGAAAACAATCTCAGATACATTTTATCTATAAATATTTCAGTATATGTCTGAAAGATACGGGGCCTTTAACACCTTCCCCACAGCTTGAGCCACAGGTGGTACATGCATGACTGTCCTGTTGGGCAGCTTGTACTACCCGAGGGGACTGTCCCACACCACCTGATGAGACAGTCAGGCATGGACCACCAGTGTTCAGAGCCACTCAGCAGCAAGACATAAGAATTATGGCCCCATCATGAATGTGTTAAAGACACAATCACATTACATCTGCAAACGTTAGTTACTCAAGGCCATCACATTGCTTAACATCACCACTTCAGTGTTCAGATTTCCATATAAATTGTTCTGAATTGGGATCCAGATTGGACCCATACATTGTGATTTGGTGTTTGTTTTTCTGTTTTTAAATCTCTTTATCTTAAGGTTGCAACTGTCTTTTTCTTCTGTTGCAGTTTCTTTCAAGAAACTAGGTCATTTGGCCAAATCAGTTCCCACCCTACCCCCAGTTCCTCATCAGCAAAATGGGGAAAGTATCAGTACCTGCCTTGTTGGACTGAGTAGACTAATACCTGCAGCATGATCAGAGCAGTACCTGACACACAGTCAGCACTTGGCTGTCTGATGTCTCCGGGGTCAGAAATCCAGCTCTCCAGGGGCCTGATGAATCTAGAAATTTCATCTCATGCCCTGCCAAATCCTAGTGCTTTGAGGTCTCTGGTTCTCTTTTCTGCCCAGCTTTCTTTACTTGAGTGTCACTTGGGCAGAATGCTCCACACAGTGGCAGAGCTGGCCCCCAAGGAGCCCCTTGGAGCTCGGCCTCTGCCTGGCCATCTCAGAAGCCAGGACAACCGTTCTCTCAGCATTCCCAAGACAGCTGGCTCTGCCCAGCACCACTGCCTTCCCCTTATGCATGAGCCTGTCACCGCGTGGGGGAAGGGGGACACAAAACCAAGGGCTTCCATAACTAGCACACACTACTGCTATGATACAATAGAAATATACGCAGTATCACCTTTTGGTACTGTGTCCATCCTGATTGCTAACCAACCTAGAACCAAAATGTATTTATTTATTCAAAATTTCAGAGTTCCATGTCCTTGGCAGTGTCCTGAATGCTGAGAAAAATGTCACTGAGCATATAGATTGTGTCCCTACTCAGAAACCCTCACATTGACTTGTTATAAAATAATGTCTGAGCTCTTTAAAACAAGAAAAAGGCAACATGTGTTCCATGGAGCCCTTATGTGATATTGAAAGTGTAAATGAGAGAAGCCTTCTGCAGCCCCTGTTGCTTCAGTCTTGCCCTGCTATTCTAATCTAAACTTTTGTTTTCTGCTATCTTCTTTTTAGTTCCCAAATAAGTGATGGTTTTTTTTTTTTTCAATTTTGGGATTTAAAAATCTGTGAATTCCAGGGATGTTACCAGATTTCGTTTGGGCCATCATATGTTAAGCATATTGGTTGTTGTTCTTAAAAAATTGATTGTGGGAAAGGAATGTTTGAGTTCAACACTGCCTTACCCTACTTAAAAATTTTGTTCCTAAGGACATATAAACTTGGGAGCAAGGAATTTAGGTTCCACCTAAAGGACCCTAAAAGAGCAAGGAATGAAGTTCCACCCTTGAACATGACCCTCAGTTCATGCAGATATGTCTTCCTCTTGATATACAGCTTCACGGTTCATCTCACCAACTTGCAAGATGTGGAGTTAGATTAGAAGGAAGCAGGAGTGAAGGGGCTCACCTGAGAAAAGTGTCCAGACTCACGTCGGCAGCATGGAAATCATCCAACGCTGCATGGTGGCCTTACAAATATCGCTTACTGTTCACATTGCAGAAGTGCCATTTGAATGAATACAACCTGCCGCCTATGTTGCAATAAAACACATTTCAAAGTAAGTGTCTTTACTTATCTGTTAACTATGTTATATGTTTTATATTTGGCCCGAGATAATTCCTCTTCACACAATGCAGCCCGGGCAAGCCAGGCAGGTCTAGCCCATGGGCTGGGGTTGGACACACCTGCTGCTAGGCTATCATTCATAGCTCTGGGCTTTGTGACTCTACTCTTCCTATGAATCTCCTTGTTTTCCTTCAATAGAACTTGTTACTTCTCAACCACTCATTTACCCCCTTTTTTTGCCATGTATGATCATAAGTACTGTGTACATAGCAAACTCTGCCTTTTTACTGAGTCACCCTTGCCTTTTTTATACACTGCATGAAGCCTTCCCTAAATAACTCTTTGCTCTTCTCATCTGTGTCCTCCTCTCTGAGGATCTCCACTTTGGATTTATTGCAAAGTATGTTTGTGAATGGGCTTGTGTGTTCATTCTATGGGGTCACTGTCGCCTCCCTGTTATCTGCTACCATCTGCAGCACAGCAATCACTGATTCCAAGGGGTGAGACCCTGGAGGAGCCCTGGAAGTGGATTTCAAATAAGGACAACATTTTAGAACATACATCGTCTTGGTCAGGAATCAGTCACTAATTCAGCTATTGAATTAGTAAGTACATCCCGGTGCTCCAACTTGGGGACTGAAACACATGGGACAACAGAAGACAAGACCGTGAGTGCAGTGATGGCAGAAAGGGATCTGGGAGAGGAGATAGCCCTGGAGACAGGGCTGGAGCCAGGCTTGGAAGAATGGCTACCGTTTTGTTTCAATGGAATGAAAGTGCAATCGAGTTTTGACACAGTGTCTGCTACACGGCAGGTCCTCTCTAGATGCTGGGTCTGGATTTGGGGAAAGTAAAAAGACCCAGCAAGTTCAAGAGGAACTGCATGCACTAGCATGGTGGTTTCCAGTGCAGGCAATGGTTCGTGAGATTTCAGCGATAACACAAGTGCAGCACTCAGGATGGTGCCTGCTGCAGATCAGAAAATGTTCTTCACTGAGTATTGTGAGCAAGGACTGGGTGGTGAGTATGGGGTTCAGAGTGGGAGTCCGGGACCCCCAGGCTGGGCGCTGTCCTCCAAGGTACCCCACTTGACTTGTTCTATCCTCGTCACTGGGCAGGTGTTAGGGAGCAGCTAGGAAGAAACGCTAACCACTGTCAAGAATTCAGCCAAGTGGTCTCTCATCAGGGAAGCGAGGCTGGTCTGCTGAGTGGAAATTGTTCCACAATATTCAAAAGCAAGAAGGATGTCTGTTCCCACCCTAGGTTTTTCAAAGTAGGAACTTTTACCCCATAAAGCAGAAGAGTTTTTTTTTTCCTTCTTCTTTTGTGGTTTCACACAGCAAATGAGTGACAACCTCTACTTGCAGACAAAGTGAGACGTCAGGCGATGAGGAGTGGACGTGGCTTGCATTTCTGGTCCCCCCTCCCTACCCCTCTCCTTTTACACTTATCGTGCTTTCCAGAAAGCCCGCCGACTGGAGAGTCTTCTTGACAGTTTCCCACGTGTTGGCTGATAGCTCCACAGGGTTTGGCCTCTGAGAACCAGTCGGAAGCAGGGGCGACGCTGCCTGGTCTGGCTGTGAAGCTGGAGATACTGGCTGCGACGTTGCAAGGAGCTTTTCCACATCACGGGCATGAGGGGAACCGGCTCCAGGGACGGTGTGCCCAAGGTGAGTGCCGTGGGCTGCTGGGATCCGGCGTGGAGCGGGGCCTGGGTATGAGGGTCAGACCGGTTTCAGTTCTGAGTTTCTAATGGAGGCAAAGGATGAATACTGAAAACCTGTGGGTTTGAGATGGGAGTTGAATGTGTTTAAGGACGGGAAATGCATGTACTGTAAATGTAAAGCTCCTGACCAGCCAGCTTCTGAGACGGGTGCAAAGGACTTCTCGGGAGATGGTGGGTAGTAGCGCCTGTCCCTTTGTGTCCACCCGCCATCCAGAAAACTTCTTAAGCCAAAGTGAGTCTCTGCCGCAGCCCTGCCCAGTCTCTTCTTGCTCTGGACCCCGAAGACACTCAGTGTGGCTCTCGGTGTCCTGATTCATTCCTGGGGTCCCTAAACCTCGGCTTCAGCCTCCCTGCTGAATCCACTAAGGTGGCCCCATGGCCGTTGTCATGGTAACTTGTATACCCTGCGACCCCAGCTGGAATTGTCCTGCTGACTGAGTCTGTGAATGAATCAAAGAAGACCCCCTATTTAGAAGTTAAAGTGGCTGCCAAAACCACCTACTCAAACTCAAGGAAAGTGAAGTTCAGGGCTATGGTTTTTTAAAAATTTCTGTTACAGGGTTGGGGATTTAGCTCAGTGGTTCCGCCACCTCCCTTACAAGTGCAAGGTCCCGAGTTCAATCCCCAGTACCAAAAAGAAAAAAAAAAATTTCCATTAGATTCTTTTAAATTGTTAAGTAGAACGGAAGAAAAATAAGAAATAAAACAATTGCTTAGAGGGGCTGCTTACAGGAATACTAAAAGATATATGACAATAATATTAAATTCCAGTAAATAATAATAAATTCCAACAATAATAATAAATTCCAGGCTGAGTAATCTACACTACCCTCTTATGTAGGCTATGTGTAAATACTTAGCTACCTTACAACTTTGTCCTCAACTGTTCACTTCAAAACTTTTCAAAGCATTAGAATGATGGAGGTGGGGTAAGTAACTCAGCAAACTCCTGGATCAGCCCACTTGAATCTATCCATCTGCTCCTGGCACTTTGTCATACGTGTGTGCATCTATTTGTAAATATTGAGGCATGAGAGCTGTGTTGTCACTGTTAAACCATTTGAATGTAAATGACAGAAATAGTGATGCTTCACCTCTAAACACTGATCCTGGGGCTCCTAAGACATTCACCTCTAATACCACACACGACCCCCACACCCACGAATATTTCACGTGGATTTAATAATTCCATTCTAATATTCGGTCTATATTCAGATTTTCCAAAACTGCCCTTTTCCTCTTTTCTTCCTGTTGTTTGCTTTTCCAATTCAGGATTCACTGTGGGATCACACATGGTATCATCTATCAGGCCCCAGTTATCCTCAATCTAGATTAATCCTCTACTCTTTTCTTCCATAGCATTGACTTTTTTTTTTCAAATAGCCTAGGTTTTTTTTTTTATGACTTAGGGTTCTTTTTATTTTTGTGCCACTTATTCTTCCTAGATTATTTATGTGGCACTTTACAGTCTCTACATGGCATGCATATGTGCCCAGGACACGGCTGACATTCTCAGCATCTCTGTGCTGCCCTGCCAATGATAATAATCCTTGCTTGCTAATCATCGATACCCCCGGCCGGGTGCTGTGTTCTCCCTCATTTTCTCCTCTCCTCACGATCTCTGTGAAGCAGAGGTATCGCTCTCACCCTTGAGTTAAGGGTGAGGAAACAGCTTGGTTGCCATGAGATGCAAAGCGCCACTGCCCAGATCAAACCCATGCAGACTATACCCCCGGAACCCAGCTCTTAGCTGGCTCCCTCATTCTCACCTTGAGACAAAGAGCCAAACAGTATTTTTCACTTTGTGGGCCACATACAATCTCTGTTGCATATTCTTTGTTTTCTTAACCCATTCATAATTACTAAATAATTATATTTTAATTTAATTTTATTTTTGAGACAGGGTCTTACTGTACAGTTCAAGCTGGCCTTGAACTCACTATGTAGCCCAGGCTGGCCTTGAACTAGCAGCAATCTTCCTGCCTTGCCTCCCAAGTTCTGGGATTACAAGCGTGCACCACCCCACCTGACCTGTAAAATACAAAATCATTCTCAACTCCCAGATCCGCTGTCTGGATTTGGTCTCCAGGCCAGTCTGCCAGCCCGTGTCATCTGACCTCACACAAGCTATCCCTGCCCAGTAGCACTGCACCAGAGTGAGGACCCCGTCTTTGCCTCCCAGTCCAGCGCCACCTCAGCTACTGTTTCTTCGGTCCCTTGTGAATCCCTGTCAACACACATAGAAGATAATATACTCTTTTTCCACCTTTTAACAACACATCTAGTAGCAGTGAGTACACAACTGTTGAGCTCTGTGGCTTTTACAATGACACACGCCGGGGTTCAGATCCCACTAGCACACCTGGTCACTCGCTAACTGGAATGCCTGCGTTGTCATTGCACTGCTTTTTCGGTGCTAACACAGTGCTTCCAGGGCCCGTGCCTTGTACATAGTCCTCAGCTTTGGGGTATTTGACTTCAGAGCCCTGGCTCTCATTCTGAATCACCCTGCCAGGCCCAGAGTTGCTGTTTGCCCTTGGGAGATAAACAACCGCTGCTCCTGAAGCTGCCTGCTCACCAACAGTCCCCTGTGAGCGGAGCTTTCCCCTTAGCACACAGCAGATTTTGTGTTTACCGGGCTGCTTTATTATGCTTTGCCCTCATAGTTTTACAAGAGCACCTAAAAATAAACACGATAATATCAGCAATAGGAAGCCCTGACCTCAAGTACTACCGTTGCAACAGAAAGAGGGATCCTTGTGCGTGGAAAAAGGGTGAGGCTGGCGTCACCTCCATCAGCTTACTGGGCTCTAGCCAGCTGGCTCCACACTCACCTCTACTCAAAAAAATGCTAGAACATTAGTTCTAAAAGACTAGGTAAATGAGTGATTTTTTTTAATCATATGTGAGTCCTTGCTTTGAATTTTTAGTGGTTTAAAAATGCTTCTTTCTAAAAATACAGTCTGCATATACATTAGTGATTCAGCCCCATTTGGTGCAAGTTGTGTCAGTCTGTGTGCAGGCATGAGTGTGTGTGCACATACCGTGTGTGGATGGCAGTAGAAGTGACTTGAAATGAGCAGCTTCGTACACGGCTCCCCTACCACCACCATCACATTTCCAAGTCCGGGACTTGAAGTAGGCTTACTAAGCCAAATAAGCATGAGCACTTGTTTTCTGTCATTTTCTGAGAATTTCTGAAATTTGATTCTACTTTAAACCTGGCTTCTACAGGATTTTCTCTCTACTCCATACTTTATCTCTTTTATAAAGACAGCTGGCCAGGCACAGCGGTGCACACCTGCATTTCCACCACTTTAAGAGGCTGAGGCAGGAGGGTCACAAGTTTGAGCCCAGCCTGGGATACTAAGCAACTTTTCGAGAGACCCTGTGCCAAAATGAACAAAGAAGGAAGGGCAGGGCGTAGCTCAATGCGAAGGCCTGGGTTCAGTCCTCAGTACTACCCATGGAAAGACAGCTGTAGGCTCACTGGTTTCTGAAGGCCGTTTTCAAACGAGTTCTTTTATCCTGTTAGCGAACAGCGGCTTGCCCAGTGTTCATCTTTCCAGAACATTTCAGTGGTTGTGTTTTGGATTCAGCTGCTGCTGCAGTGTATCCATGCCCCGGTCCTCCCCCATCTCACACAGCACAATGGCTTAGACTCGCTCGAGGAAGATCAGGATCAAGACGCGACTTTTAAAACGTCTTCAGCATCCTCGGGGTTGGCTGAGATCCAACCGAGACAGTGAGTGACAGTGTCGGGCGCTGGCCCCTGAGGGACGTGGCTGGCCTAGTTCTAGGCTCTGCCGCCTGCGAGTGGAGCAATTTCAGACTCCGCTATGCCTGTCAGTCCCGAGGCAGAAAGCAGGATGCTTCACTCAGGCTTATGCCTGCACTAGCCAGTGTGTCTTCACCAGTGCCCGCCCTGTGGTCATGTGTGTGAATGAACAGGAGGAGACAGGGACTGCAGCTACAGCCCTTTCAACATAGCCAGATTCAAGAACAGCCAGGACACTTCCTAGTTGTCGGGCATCTGGGAACAGAGGTTGACCTAGACTCTCAGCTCTCTGACTCCTCCCTGGCCCCAGACTGACCACTCAGCCTTCATTGCTGAGACCTGGCCTCCTCCTCCTCCTGTGGTCAGATGTTGCTCTGGATTTGAACCATTGGGTTTAAGTTGAAATCACAAAGCCCTGTCACCTCTCTCTGACTTTGCCAGCAACCTCATCCCTTCATCCATCTCTTGTGGCAAAGCAACCCAAAGGCAGTACCCAACTTGAAAATGCAGCTCACCATCACCCATGGTCGCCTTTTACCCACACAGAGTTATGGGGCAATGGGGTTCAGGCAGAGGGAGCAGCAGATGCAAAGGCCCTGTGGTGGGAATGAGTTCAGCATAGCAGAGTATCCATAAAAAGGCCAGGGTGGTAGATACAAAGTAAAGAAAGGGAAAGAGTGGTGGGAAACCAGATTAGAAGGGTGAGCAGAGCCACACAGTGCCTGGCTTGGTGTGTCAAAACTTTTAAGTGCATTCTAATGACAAAGGAAGCCACTGCCCACTTCAAGGAGGAGATGACATAGTCTCTTTTATATTTTCAAAGATTACTTGGGTTGCTACACAACAGAAAGGCTGTAGGTGGGAAGGGGCAAAAGCCAGAAGAACTGGGAAAACTAAGGGTAGGTGGCTTCATTTTCCACCTTGGATAGAATAAGACTGTTCTTGGTAGACATGGAGAAGACTCATTTGCTCTGTCTTTTGAAAACAAAATAATAAAGCTTAAAACGTTGGCCAACAGCCAACTCTTCAAAGTAGAGTGGTCGACATGGTAATGGAATGGGGAAGCGACCGTAGCAGTGTGCCACAATCATTCTGGAACTGCAGTGACTAAGGGAGGAAATGAGAAGGGCCCCGAGGGGAAATAACTTAACAAAGGAAGGAGGCTGAAGTCAGTAAAAATGATGCCGCTAAGGGTGAGATTAGAGTCCAACATGAGTTGCAAAATGGGGAAGTCAATTTTTTAGGAACTATTTTCAAACATCTATTACTCATGAGCATTTGCTCAGGGGACAGGGGGATCCAGTATTCATAGAAACAGAGTTAACACCAAGAATGGAGTGTCCTTCCGAGCCTGGGTGGACCTCCCTCCCATCCCAGGAAGGAGCTGCATGGACCAGAAACCCTTTCCCAGGCCACCCTGGGCTGCTTCTCTTACCACCTTGAGATGACTTCTCCATGAGTTTGGGTCATGAGTGGAAAGCATTGTGCTTTCACTTGGAAGAATCAAGAGCAGCTGTTGTTTGTTACACATCTGCTCTGAAAGGCCAGGCAGTCTGTCTTTTGGTGAAAATAGTGAAGGAAGAAAGCAGTAAGGTCCCTCTCCCTTGGAGATGTTTGCCGAACAAGTCAAAAGCGCTTTGAGGAATGTTTGCTTGGGATTCAGAATTTGGAACTTGCCCCAATGGAAAGAGAAATCAAAGCCTGATTAGTCACTGAACCAGTGTTTCCTGAGTAAGGAGTCAGTGGCCACTGGGAAGCCCAGACCAGTGTCATGAGACATCTCTGACCTTCCTTTAGGGTCTTAATCAAAGGTTGGGCTGGGTTGATCTGTGACCACTTGTTGACAGATAAAGGTCTGAACCCAGTGAAGTACTGTGAATTTACACCAACAGCGAGAGCAGGAAAGCTGAGAGTATGGGGGCTCTCTGCCTTCCCACCCTCTAACATGACCCTGGAGACCTGGGGAATCCAGTGACTGAGCCAGCTTTGACTTCATGATCATTAAATGGAAAAATCACACCCTGCAGGAACCTTGGCTGCTTGCAACCCAAATGGTTTTAGGTACCACACAGATAGATGTGTGTGAGTGTGTCTGTGCACACACACGTGTGTGTGTGTGAGAGAGAGATTTATGTATCTTAATGAACATTAGAAAACACCAAAACTAGCTCATCGAATCTGTCATTTCTATGGAGCATGGTAGAAAACAACTGTAATCCTAGTTTCTCAGGAAGGAGACTGAGGCAGAAAGATCACAAGATCAGGGCCAGCCTGGGCAGATTAGTGAGACCTTGTTTCAAAATAAAATTTTTAAAAGGGTTGGGGTGGCCAGGGATTTAGCTCAGTAGTTCCACTGCCTGCTTTGCAAGTGCAAGGTCCTGAGTTCAATCCCCAGTACCAAAAAAAAAAGGGAGGTTGAGGATTGTAGCTCAGTGGTAGAGCACCTGCCTAGAATTCATGAGGTCCTAGGTTCAATTTCCAGTGCTGAGAAAAACAAAAGAAAAGTCTATAATTTTCTAGATAATATTGCTTAGGGAAATTTGTTTTTTTTAAATTGATTCAATTTAATATTTTACTTTCAAAAATGTACCAGTGATGTTCAGATATGACAGAAGCAGGTAGTTGTTAGACATACAAGTTTGAGAATCACAGTCTCAGAGCAAGCTTTTTCCTAACTAGAGTTGGGATAATTATTTATGACCAATCAACTAACACAGAACACCTTTCCCCATGCGTTTTATCTGTTCTTCCCTTCAAGAAAAAGAAGGAAAGAAAGGAGATGAAATGAGAAAGGCAAAGGACCTTGTGCTCTTTCCTTTGTGATGCCTTTTCTGGGTTTCATGAACTAAGGCAAGATTAAGAGAAGAAGCCAAGCAAACCTTGTTTTCCAGCTGGCCAGGAGCGTGGAGCTCTCCCTGGGAAGCTCCCTCTCCATCAGATGAAGAAAGTGAGGCCCATAGAAGTCCTCAGCTACTTACCCTCCCTCAGGGAGATCCTCAACCACCTACCTTGGCCCAAAACTCCTTCCAAAACTTTCATTTCTCAAGCAAATACAGTATCTTAGGCAATAACCCAAGGATGTGGTTAGCAAGAGTGGACTTGGAGGTGACTGGAGAGGAAGGATATGGATAAATCCACCAGCTTCTCTAAAGAGAGCTCTGGTCTGATGTTGGCCCATCTTGGGCCACATCCAAGAAGATCAATTACTCTGTTGCCTGGGAGACCTTATTGTTGACTGATTTCAATCCTGAACTTAGATCCAGGGAACCTGGTCACCTGACCTCCAGCATAGCACATGGGCAGGTGCTTGCTAAGTAATTGTCAGGTCAGTGAAGCTCTAAAAGCACAACAAGGTTTCCATGAACAGAGGAAGTATATTCAAGCAAGTGGACCTGGGCAAGACCCAAACCTACTGGGAAACCACAGCATTCAGGCATCAAGGAAGAAAATGTTTCATTTCTACCGGTGATTTTGGAATTTTTTTCTGGCCACAACCTCTTCTTCAAAGCCCCGTTAGTAGGGAGTGCCTTCTACATTTATGGAACCTGAGCCATCAAGAAGTATTCAAAGCTGGACAGTTCCAATTGATAGGTATCACTGTTACCGTGGAGAAACCAGTTAGTTTACGCCTTGTGCCTGAAGCAGGACTTAAAGAAAAACAAGTTTTACCCAGCCTTGGGCAGCCCCCTCAGGATCACCGCAACCCCCTTCCTTCCCCTGTAGCTGTAACTCCTTGTTCTGGTACAGATAAAATTAGCAACTATGTACTGTGAACAAAGTTTAAGTCATCTTGTTCTCCCAAGATTCACAAGGCTCTGTCTTCTTTCGAGGCTAAATTACAAAACTCTCTGCCCTTCCCTTGTTTCATGTAAATTCACTTGCTACGTCACTAGAAAAACCAACCCCTTTGACCAAATGTATAAAAACTGGAACTTTTCTTTATTTGTCACTCTCCTTTGCTCATTAGTCTATTGCGCTGATATTCACCTAAGATTAAAATCCTCCTGTTTCCCAGTGGTCTCTCTTGTCCCTTAAATTCTGCAACATTTCTGGAGACCACATAAGGACTGGAGAGGACAGAGTTGGTGTCTCTTGCCTGCCAGGAGGGGCCTGAGCTGTAGGAACCCTGAGACCTCTGGTGCCACTGGGTGAGACTTCAGCTCGGAGAGGGAATCAGCCCTCCTGAAGCCCAGAGGCTCCCTCCCTGCCAGCTCAACAGAACTTATTGGGATTCAGGGCGATTCTGGAACAACAGCGTGCTACAGGACCACAGTAAGGTTTTGGGGCCCAGGGGGAAAACCCATCCTGTTAAGACAGAAGGGGGGCCTGATCACCTGCTGTGGTGTACCAAGGAATCTGACATGGACTGAGTCAGATGAAGCCTACAACCCCAAGTAAATTGGGATGGGTGGCCCAAAGCAAAAGTTACTCTCAAACAGCTCACCGGGAAGGCTCACAATGAGCATGGCTTTCAAAGGGGGTATGTCCAGTAGTCAGACTCAGGAGGAGTCAGATGAAACCCACACCAGGGGTACTGAGTAGCCAGACTCAGAGGGAGTTGGGCGAAATGCACACCTAGGTTGGAAAAATGGGATTAAAAAATATATGGCTGTGTATGAATGAATGAAACAAAGTGTGTGAGTCTGCAGGGTATGAAGAAAATATCTAACTGTGTGTGAGTGAGCGGAGTAAAGTGTGTGAGTCAGAGGTCACCTGAGCTCAGCTGAAGACTAGGGGAAGGAGGTGGTCTAATTGGTCTTAAAACAAAAGTAATTGAGAATGATTTGCACCAAAATGAGCAAAGGCATGAGAAGAGCTGCTTAGCTTTAGTGTGCAAGGTTATACAGCCAAGGCACCTCTGGCAGGCTGACAGGGAATAAAAAAAGGAGCACCCTGTGAAATGGTGTGATGACGGCGAACAGCCTACATGGGGACCAAAACTGAAAGAACGCCTGTGCAGCCAGCCCACTGGGCTAAAGGGAGGATGCAAGGTGGAGAGACTTCAGTGCAGCTGCCCGTGCTGAGGTTAAACAAAGCAAGGGTATCTTTTCATTTCAAAGTGCCAGAGAGCACAAAGCAAGACAATGTGAGGGACCCTCCTGGCTTTGGGAGCCCCAAAGCTGATGCTTGCTCCATGTCACCGGCCTGGCACAGCCTGCAGGTGCCTGAAAGCTGGAGCAACTCCAGCCTGGGGCTGCCTGGTCAAAGTTGAGGAACTATGACCACATCCTGCCAGGCAAAAGGAGGAATCAAATTATAAATTTTAGCTAATTGATAAATGTACTTTCGGTTTCCAATTTGAGTTGATATTTTTGTTTAATTGGTGTGCTTAAACCATTTCTTGTCCATTGCAGAGTCTTAAATTGTAATTACAGGGTTAACTTGCTCTTTTCTCTGCTCTCTGTTGGTTTAAGATAAAAACACTGATTCAAGGTTACTAAGAAGTCTGTTGCCACCCAGTTAAATTTAAAATGTAATAATCAAAGGACAAAGGGGGGGGGCACTTTAAAATCCAAGCAGCTGCAACCAAGTTTGTTATAGAAGGTTTACAGTAAGTGAGATGGAGAAAAATATTAAGAAGGTTATAAGTATAAAAGATATACTTTTGATATGAGAGGATTTTGTATGACAAAAGTTCTGTCCTGTTAGACAAAAAGAAAGAGATAATGACAAGACTGGAAAGCTTACATATGTCAAGAGAAAGCTTGCAGAAGTAATTTTTTAAGGAAAATATGTATGTTTGTTGGTTAGTTTGGTGAAAAACTGTGCTGTTCCTTCTAAAAGTTCCTTGTTGGTCAAAAGACTCAAGAAATATGTATGGTAACTTGTTAGTATGATAGAGCTCAGGGTGTTCCTAAAATGAAAGTGCTTGAGAAAATGATTTGCATCACAACAGTGTAGATATGGGGAAAAAAGCATCAAAACCTACCCCATTAGAATGTTTGTTAAAAAAAAAACTTTTAAAGAGGCTATATGGGAGGCTATGGAGTAAAGTTGACCCATTCCAGAGGTTAAAACGCTTGATGAAATAGATTGGCCCTCCTTTGATATAGGGTGGCTGGCGGGGGAATGATTGGGCATGTACATAGGTGATAACTGGGGATGAAGAATGGCCAGGAGGCTCAACAACAAAAGAAAGATAACAAAACAGGAGGCCAACCAGAGGCTCAAAAAAAAAAAGCAGATCTGTGGGCAGCAGCACTCACTGAGAAAAAAGACAAAGATCGCTAAAGAGGCAAAGGCACAGACATGAGCATAACAGAAGCTAGACCAAGCCAAGATCTGCCAGTTGACCAAAGCTAGATTGGAATCAATGTGTGTGACATAAAAAGTGTGGGCACTGAAAAAAATGAATGACCAGAGAAATGATGACAGAGATGATAAAAATTCCAAAACTAGGAGACCACCTGCAAAAAGCTGTCACCCCTGGGAAAAACCAGTTGCTGGCCTCATTGGACTGACAAGAACTGAAGATTCCAGACAATGAGAGTAGGAAGCCAATTGATGGACTTTATAATAGACAGTGGATCTGAGCACTCAGTGATGATGCAATCTATTAGGCCATTATCCAAGAAAAATGTGACTATTGTAGGAGCCACTGGGGTTCCAGAGATGAGACCATTTGGTCACCCTAAAAGATGTGTTATGGGAGGCAAGAAGTCCAACATGAATTCCTGTATCTGCCAAACTGCCCAGTTCCCTTGTTAGGGAGAGATTTAGTCCAAAAGCTGCAGGCTCAAATTACCTTCAGGCCACAAGAAAATATGACTTTAAGTCTTACTCAACCAAGGTCCATAATGTTAACTCTTACTGTCCCACAGTCAGAAAAATGAAGATTGTATTCAGATAAGTCACAAAAGCCAGGGATAGATGAGCTACATAGACTAGCATGCAAGATTCCCAGGGTATAAGCTGAAGCAAGGACATACAAAGTGGCTCTTAAAACATGGAACACCCCGCTCCTGCCAGTATGTAAGCCAAGGACAAATAAATACAGACGAATGCAGAACTTACGTGCTGTAAATGAAGCCACTGAGACAATTCACCCAACAATGCCAGATTCATAGATATTAATGGGACTTACTCCAGCAAATGATGCCTGGTTTACTTGCTTGGAATTGAAAAATGCTTTTTCTGTTTGCATCTTGCACTTGTCTGCCAGCCTATCTTTACGTATCAATGGGAGGATTCTGTTATGGGCACAAAAGAACAGCTCGCCTGGACTAAGCTTCCTCAAGGGTTCAAACACTCTCCTGCAATCTTTGGAGAGGCACTAGCTACTGACCTCAAAGCTTTTATCACACCAGGAGACAATTACACCCTGCTCCAATATGTAGATGACCTCCTTCGGGCAGCCTCAATCTGAGGGAACCATTATCAGGAAACCAAGGACTTCCTTCATTTGCTTTGGAGGGCTGAATATAAGGTATTCAAGAAAAAGACCCAAATTTGCTTTCAAGAGGTCAAATATTTAGGCTTCATAGTGACTCAAGGAGAATGCAAACTAGACACAAAACAAAACCAGGCTGTCTGTGCCCTCCCAGCCCCAACCACCTGGTGCCAAACAAAAGAGTTTCTGAGGATAACAAGATTCTGCCATATCTAGATCCCAAATTTCTTACTTATGGCTAAGTCCCTATATAAAGCCACAAAGGGGGTTAAAAAAAAAAAAAAGGAGCCCTTCCTCTGGGAAGCTGACCAGGAAAAAACATTTAAACAGATCAAAAAGGCGTTGACTAAGGCCCCAGCTTTAGGGTTGCCAAATATAGCCAAGCCTTTCTAAAGGAATTGCCGTAAGAGTCTTAAGCCAGGACATGGGATCCTAGCATCACCCAATGGCATACTTGTCAGAAGACACCATATGGCCCTAGGATGACCTCCATGCTTCAAGGCACTAGCTACCATTTCCCTGCTGATGCAGAAAGCTGACATGCTAACCTTGGGATAATTGACCATTCGAGTATACAATGGTGCAGTTAGACTCTGTGGTAGAGGCCCAGCCTCTGCCCACCAGAACCTCAGCCCAGAAGACAAGCTAATCGCTTGGGCTCTTTTACTAGCTAACATCTATACTGATTCTAAATATGCCTTTGGAACATTACATGTACATGAGGTTATATATAAGAAAAGAGGACTTTGACAGCTGGAAACAAAATAAAGTACAAAGAGGAAATTTTACAGCTGCTAGATGCAATATGGGCCCTGGAAAAAGTGGCTGTCATACACTACAGGGGGCAACAATAGTCTGAAACATTAGAGGCCAGAGGGAACCAGGAAAACAAAATGGGCTGCTATGATAGTCCACCAAAATCCAAGAAAGGGACCTAGCCATGCCCCTCATGCCAGAGCCTCCTCTCCCGGAGACTCCAAATTACTCTTCAAATAACAAAGCCTAGTTTGTCCAAGAAGCTGGAAAGTTTGTAAAGGGGGGATGATGGAAGTTTGCTGATGGGAGGCTAGTCATACCTGAAGTGCTGGGCCCCAAGTTCATAAAACAATTCCATCAAGGGTCTCACATGAATAAAACAGCATTGGAAACATTACTAAGATGCCATTTCTATGTGCCATGGCTCACTGCCATCGCTTGAGTTGTTTGTGAGGAATGCTTAATCTGTGCCTAAAACAACCCAAGACAAGGGCCCACCTGGCCCCCAGGTATCCAGGAAACAGGAGCTGTCCTATCTGAAAACTTGCTGATGGACTTTACTGAATTGCCTCAAACTGATGGCTATCAATACATGTTAGTGCTTGTCTGTACCTTCTCAGGATGGGCTGAGGCCTTCCCTCCCTAAACAGGAAAGGCACAAGTGGTGACCAAAATGCTGTTAAGAGACATTATCCCAAGATTTTGACTACCCCTGATCCTAGGGTCAGACAGTGGACCAATATTCGTAGCCAAGATAGTCCAGGAGCTCACACAGATGTTAAAGATAAAATAGAAGCTTCACATGGCTTACTAACTACAGAGCTCAGAAAAGATAGAACACGTGAACCAGACAATGAAACAGCTGCTGACACAATATTGTCAAGAAACCCACTTGAGGTGGGATCAAGTCCTCCCTATGGTCCTCCTCTGAGTCCAGTACACACCCACCAAATAAACTGGGTATTTCTCTTATGAGATTTTGTTCAGCCAGTCACCCCCATCATAAGTCGAATTAACAGTGATCTCTGTGTGCTAAAAAAAAAAAAATGACCTTGAGGAAACAAATACAGGCTTTAAAAATAGCTATACATGACATTCATGGTTGAGTACAAGAGAGAATGCCCAT